TCTCTCTCTCTCTCTCTCTCTCTCTCTCTCTCTCTCTCTCTCCCCCTTTCTCTATCTCTTTCTCTTCTTTGTCTTCTGTCTCTGTCTCTCTCCTTTTGTCTATCTTTATCTCACTCTGTCTCTCTCTCCTTTGTCTGTCTCTGTTTTTGTTTCTCTCTGTCTCTCTCTCCCCCTTGTCTGTCTCTATCTATCTCTCTCTGTCTCACTGTCTCTCTCCTTTATCTGTTTGTCTCTATCTCTCTCTGCCTCTCCTTTGTCTGTCTGTCTCTGTTTCTCTCTGTCTCTGTGTCTGTCTCTGTCTATTTGTCTCTCTCATTGAAGGGTCAGGTCCACATAGCAGCTTAAAGAATGACATACCACCCCCATGTGGTCAGGATGAGAACGGTACCAAAGACCTTGGTTAAGTCTACAATCAACACATGAGAACAGTTGACCCTATGCTCCTACACATTTCCTTACTTCAGGAAGGCAGTTATATTTTGGTGATTCCTGTCCTCATCTAGCCTACCTTTCAGTCTCTCCCACACTGCCCAGTAATGGTAGCTCAGGATGCTCATTCGTAAAATAGTGATTATAATAAGTGCACCAATTATAAAAGTTTGATTGAGAAGAAAGTGTTTTGCAACTGTAAAAGTGCTAAAGAAATGTAATTTTTTTGTGAGGGGGAGAATATCCAGATCTCTGTGATTTAGTAGGTATAGGAATGCAGAATGGCAACTCGGATGTAATTCATAGCCTTAGAGTTTTGCTTGAGGAGTTAAGTGACTTGACCACAGCCTTGTAGTTTGTATGTGTCAGAGGCAAGACTTGAATCTAGGTTTTTCTAACCCTATGGTCCTACTTTATCCCGTATGGCAGGATGCATATCTCTACTGATGATGATGCTGGTGATGGTGATGATGGAAAATATAGTGGAAAGAATACTGGTGTGAGAGACAGAAGACCTGGATTCAAATCCTACCTCTGCCACTTTCTACCTATGTAATCACGAGTAAGTCAATTCCCCTCTCTGGGCCTTGGTTTCTTCTTCTGTTTTCTTTTCTTTTTCTTGTTTGCTTTTTGGTGAAGCAATCAGATTTAAGTGACTTGCCCAGGGTCACACAGCCAGTAAGTATCAAGTGTCTGAGGACAGATTGGATCTCAAGTCCTCCTGACTCCAAGGACAGAGCTCTATCCACTGTACCACCTAGCTGCCCTCGGTTTCCTCCTCTGTAAAATGAGGAGGATGACTCCTCATATCGCTTCTGGCTCTAGATGTATAAGCCCTAAGTGAAGCTAAATTCTATTGCCCTCTAAGTTCCACCCATTGCTTCTAGTTCTGCTCTCTGAGGTCAAGCAGAACAAGTCTGACCCCTCTGCCCTGTGATGTCAGAACCCTGTGGGAAGGGTGGGAAGAAGACCTTTCTCTCTGATTCCTATTAATTCTGCATAGGACAGATAGAATGAATGGAATGAGGGATCAACATTCAATCGAGTCTTCACGATTATCCCAGGGCTTTACGAAGTGTTCAGCTCTAGGTAGTTGACAATACTTTATACTTTTCCAACTTCCCTTGTTCTCTGCTTATTGAAATCCATCCTTTCCTTCAATGCTCTTGTCAGGTGCCTTCCCTAATTTCCTCTCTCCCTCCAGCTTTCAGTGATCCTTCCTTGAGTTTCTCACTGCATTTTGTCAGTATCTCTCCTTGGCACATACATTCCACTTCAGTATTTCATGAAATTTATTGGATTTCATTGGTATTGTGTCCTCCCTTCTCTGCTGACCCAGTCTCCAAACTTTACCTTTTTGTTAGACAGTCTTCATTCCACACAGAGCACTACAGGAAAACCATCAGAGTCTCATATCCAATTTTGTTGTATTTATCTGTGTCTATGTCTTACTGCCCTACTGAACTGGAAGGTCCTTGAAAGCAGGAACTGCATCTGAACCATTTTTGCTCCCAAATGCCCACGACAGGGCCCTGGACATGGCATGCATTTAATTTGTCAAATTGGATTCCCAGAAGATGGAATATTTCTTTCTCTTTCAACCTAATTATACTTCCTAGAAGCCTCCAGTCTTCTGTTTTCTCTAGAATTTCTCTGAAGCATTTCAGATGACCCCAGAACTTCCAAACCCTTGAGTTTCTAATACTACCCTGCCCTATGTTCATTTAGAATTGATTGCAGTATCTGAGTCTTTTCCACAACATTGCAAATTCTACAGTGGGAATGGGCTCTGATACTTTTCTAATAAAGGCTCTGGGTGACCATAGGCAAGCCATTTGTTCTCTCTGTACATCAGTTTCTACATTTGTAAAACAAGATTAAGAACACTTGACCCATCCACCTCCCACAATAGTGAGGAAAGGGCTCTATAGATCTTAAAACCATACTAGAAATAAGAGTATGCATGAGAAGTACTGGGCACACAGTAGTCACTCAACGAAGATGAAAGTGGCTGACCTGGGGAGGGCTCCCCTCCTCCTATCCACATCCCTAAGGTTTATAACAGGCTGCTCAGCTGAAGAGGCAGAAAAAAGGACTCATTTGACAAGGAAAGAAAACATGAAATGCCTAGGACTTACAGGTTGACCAAGCATAGATTTTGGAAGTCATGTTCTTAAAGGCCTTTTCAATGGCTGGGCATACCTATAACAACAAAAATTTTGGATTTCAGTGGAAGCTTAGTGAAAGTGCCAAGCACTGCTATCAGCCTGGCCTACTAACTTATGCAATCTCCCACGAAGACATGAGATTTGCTTGAGGAGTTATGTTAGTGTTAGTGTTAGTATGAGGCTGAGTAAGGGTTTCATCTCCTAGATTTTCAAGGGGAAGGAAGGAAGGAAGGAAGGAAGGAGGGAAGGATTTGATAAACTAAAGCTTAAGTCAGAATTAAGAATTAGATAGGACCTCATTGGTCATCTAGTCCAACCTATATACCAAAGGAATCCCCACTATGACATACCCAACAAGTTACTCAACAGTCTAGCCTGTTCTTGAGTGGAGGAGAAGGGAACTCATCACCTCTTGAGGCTGATGATTTTGCTTTTGGACAGTTCCAATTGCTAGGAGGTTTTCTCTGACATCTAGTCTAAATTTGCCCCTGTAACTGCTACTCATTACTCTTGATTCAGCCTCCTGGGGTTAAACAGAGGAAATGCAATCCCTCCTCCACATGCAGCTTTTCTAATATTTGAAAACAGTTATTAGTCAAAGAAGAGCAATTAGGTATGATGAGAAAACACATTGAAAATGTCTGTGCAATTTCAAGTCAATGACAACATTGGATTCAACCTACAAAAATTTAGTTTACACACAACTTTTCATCACAGTGTAACATTGAACTGGACGCCCGAGAGAAATCAGAGCATCACACCCAATTGACTTTAATTGAGAGCGCGTTTATTTGAGCCGGCCGGCGACGGACCCCAGGCGTGCATCCCAGGGGCCGTCCCACCGAGGGTTTCATCTGAGATATTTATACTGTCCGGTTACGAAACAGGGTCCGGTGGGGTGCCGGGAAGGGAACAGGGTCCGGTGGGGTGCCGGGAAGGGAGCAGGGTCCGGTGGGGTGCCGGGAAGGGAGCAGGTTATTTACAGAACAGGATGTTGCACCCCCCCCCTTGAGGATTTCACCCAGGGTGTTGTAACAGCCGTTAGGGGAAGCTGAGCCAGAGGCCCCGGGGCGTGGTGCCCCTGGGTCCCTAACGGAGGGTCTATCACATTCCCCCCTTTTCAAGAGCAAGTTATACAGGGGACTCAACAGAGTCCAGGGGCGCTGACTCTTCCAAATCCAGGGGTGTATAGGATTTGCGTAGGACAAACAGTTTCAGAGACTGTATACGCTGCTGGATGTAGCGGGAGAGACAATTCATGATGCAAGGGGCGACCAATAATCCTAGGAGGAGAAGAACCAAGGGGCCCATTATAGCAGAGAGTAGAGTGGTGAGCCAGGGGGACCAGTTATACAAGTCCTGGTACCAGGAGGAGCTGTGGGCTCAGGCTCGGTCCCTATCATCTAATCGCTGCCTTAATGCCTGCAGGGATTCCCGGATGACACCTGAACGATTGGTATAGAAACAACAGGTCTCTCCCAGGGCCATACACAACCCCCCCTGTTTCAGGAATAACAGGTCAAGGGCGCGGCGGTTCTGAAGTACCACCTTCGCTAGGGAATCCAGGGAAGTCTCCAGGTGGGAGACTAGTCCCTCCAGAGCTCGTAAGTCCTTATCCACCTGGGTACTGAGGGCCGCATAATCTGCCTTTCCCTGCACTAGGGCGGTTGCTCCCACGGCTGCAGACCCGGCCACCCCGAGCCCCACCAGCAAGGGCACTAAGATAGGGGCTGCCCTTCTGGAGCGGGGTAGGCCGAAGTGTTCAGTGGCCCCCTCCTCGGAATACACATACACTTGTGGGAACACCCTAACTATCACACAGATCTCAGTGGGGCTGAGGAAGTGGCGATCTTGTATACAGGTGGTGAGGCCCAGAGTGCAGGCGAACCAAGTCTCGGGTGGGGTGGTTATCAGGAAGCCCAGCCTATTGGACGAGGGTGTGACTAAGATAACAGAAGTGCAGGTTGAATTAAATGGGGAAGCTCTCAACGGGTAGTCAGGTCCAAGCAAGCACGTCCCTGTGCCCTGGACGTCATCCAACGTCAATTTAGGCCTATTTGGGTTACAGCGGGTGGGGATTGCTGTGGAGGAGGGGTTCTGCATGGACAAGTTCCCCAGAAATGAACTGTTTAACTCCAAAGCAACCCCTACAAAGTATGGGGGAGCCGGGTTCAGACACAGCCAGCAGGCGGTAGTGACATTGGGGTCGGAGGAATTCAAGAATGCATGGACCGCAGTAAGGGTGTCAAGTATGGAGGCCCCAGGGGCACCGGGTGTTTTCAGAGTCGCCGACCCTGGTGTAGCAGAGGGCTCAGCAGACGGAATCAGATCTATCTTGGCCCGTGGGTTGAGGACAGGGTTGGGGCCTATGGGAAGGGGCTGAACGGGTAGGGCGACCTTTTGTATTGTAAAAAGGACACTGTTGTCCCATCCAGTCATATACAACCTCAACCCCCATGAATGCCCAAGATTCCATGAATCATCCTTGTACTGTTTGACCGTTAAGATCATGGGGTTGCATTTTCCAGGCCAGCAGGAATATGGGAGAGGTGACTGTCTTTCCAAAGTGATGAGCGGGTCTTTTCCACCCCCAGGAATCCAGTCTGCCACTGTCTCACACCCCCATTCTGCGCAGTGGAAACTGCCGTCTCCACGGCAAGAGGGGCTTCCGGTAGCAGGACAGGCATAGAACTGGATGCCCCTGATATTATATTCACCTTGTCCTGCTCCATGTTGGGTGGCTGGTATGGGAATAGTAGGGCAGTGCCTGCCCCCCCCGTCACAGGGTCCTGCAGGTGCCTATCTCTATTCCATCCCGATCCTAAGAGGGCACAGAGGTCAAACCTGAAGGTAGGCGGGCCATAGCAAGTTAAGGTCTGTATGATGGTGCCATCATTGGTGCGGGATAGAATCCACCTATGTGGTGTGGGGAGGTAGGGGTTACAGACTGCGGGATATTCCTTATAAGCAAAGAGGAGAAGCGAAAGAATCAAGTTTTGGAGAGCCGGAGCCTTAGATCCGACACCGCCTCTGCTTTCCATTTCGCGGGCTCAGGCGCCGGAGTCTTCTTGACGTGTGACCGATGTATCCAAGCCTTTCTACCTGCGACTTTCACGGCCGATGGGTTGCAGAGGATCACTTGGTAGGGCCCAGTCCACCGCGGTTCCAGAGCCGATCCGGCAGGCAGTTTGCGGGTGAGGACCCAGTCTCCAGGTGTCAAGGCTTCCGAGGTAGCGGCAGGATTCGAACTTCTCCCCGCAGCCTTCAGGACCGATCGTACTGTGTCTTGGACCTCCCAGAGTGCCTGAAAGGACTTAAGAAGAGTGGGGTTAGTAAAATCCGGGGCTGGGGTCGCCCCCGTTACCTTTGGTAGGACAGGTGGGGGTGCCCCATAAAGAATCTCATATGGGGAGAGAGAGAGAGTGGAAGAGTTAGGAGTATACCTAGCCCAAAGGAGAGCGAAAGGGAGGAGGCTAACCCAGTTATCGCCAGTTTCCAGTTTGAGCTTAGCAATGTGCTCCTTCAAAGTCCTATTCATCCTTTCTACTTGCCCTGAACTCTGAGGCCGGTACGCACAATGTAGCTTCCACTTCAGTCCCAGCATCTTGGATAAGTTCTGAATTGTTGCAGATACGAATGACGGCCCATTGTCGGACCCTATTGAAACTGGCAAGCCGAATCTGGGAATGATTTCAAAGAACAGTTTTTTTGCAACTACCGTGGCGGTTTCGGCTTTTACTGGGAACGCTTCTGGCCACCCGGAGAACGTGTCTATGAATACAAGGAGGAATCGGTACCCCCCCCTGTCCAGGTCCCATATCGGTGAAATCAACTTCCCAGTGATCCCCGGGGAAGGTTCCCCGCGGTCTATCAGCCGGCACCCTCGTCGCTGGCCGGGGGTTGATCTTTGCACATGTACTGCATCTCCTGGCCGCCTCCTCAGCTGCCTGTTTCATCCCTGGGCTGTAGAAATGCCTACTCACCAGGTCATAGAGCCTGGTTCCGCCTAGATGAGTGAGGTCATGGAGGGTCATCAATAGAGGGGGCAGGAGGGCTTTGGGCAGGATTAACAGACCGTTTGGGTGTCTTCTCCATCCCCCCTTTTCAGGCACGCCTTCCGGATCGCCGGACTGGTAAGAAGGTCGTGCGGGCAACAAATTTTCCGTCTGGACAGCGAAGGCGGGGAGAGGCATCCTTCTTGCGGCCGCACGGGCGGCTCTGTCTGCGGCTGCATTTCCCTGCGACTGGGGGTCCGTCCCACGGGTGTGAGCTGGGACATGGATGACTGCCACCTCTTTGGGAAGCCAGACAGCATCCAGGAGATCCTGAATCTGCCTCTTATTCCTGATCTCTTTCCCTGCTGAGGTTAGCAGGCCGCGCTGCTGGTACACGAATCCGTGAACATGGACAGTCTCGAATGCATACCTGCTGTCAGTGTAGATATTGACTCTCTTGCCCTTCGCGAGCCGGAGTGCCTGTGTCAAGGCAACCAGCTCTGCCCGCTGGGCAGAAGAACCAGGCGGCAGGGCTGCGTCCCAGAGGGTCTCGGTCGGGGTCACCACTGCGGCCCTGGCCCTCCGAATCCCATCCTCCACGAAGCTGCTGCCATCTGTGAAGAGGATCATGTCAGGGCTGGTCATAGGTACATCGGTAAGGCCGGGCCGGGAGGTGTGGATGGCGTCAAGGACGTCCAGGCAATCATGCAGCGGTGATGCCGGCGGGGAGTTGGGAAGCAGCGTAGCGGGGTTCAAGGTCACGGGCGCAGAGAAGGTTATGCGGGTTGGATCTAACAGGAGGGACTGGTAGTGAGTCAGACGAGAATTAGAGATCCACCGAGTGGGAGGGGTGTGCAGCAACTGCTCCAGGTGGTGAGATGCAGAAATCTCAAGGGGCTGGCCGAAGGTCAGCTTTGTTGCCTCCCTGACCAGGGTCGTGACAGCCGCAACGGTTCGAAGACATGTAGGCCACCCAGCAGCGACCGAGTCAAGCTGCTTGGAGAGATAGGCCACTGGGCGATTCCAGGGCCCCAAAGGCTGGGTTAGCACTCCCTTGGCCACTGCCTGAGATTCTGAGACATAGAGGCGGAATGGCTTAGTCAGGTCTGGCAGGGCAAGAGCGGGGGTGCTAGCTAACGCTCCGCGCAGTTTGTTAAAAGCCTCCTCCTGCCTTGGTCCCCACAGGAACTTGGCAGGCTCACCTGACAGTGCCTCATACAGTGGTTTAGCGATTTCCGCAAATCCTAAGATCCACAGTCGGCAGTACCCGGCCATTCCCAAAAATTCTCGGAGCCCGCGGCTGGTTGCTGGGGCCGGCATGCCCAGGATAGCTGACACACGTTCCCGCGAAAGCAGCCTTTGTCCGGACTGCAGGGTGAATCCTAGATAGATAACAGATTGTAAGCACAGCTGAGCTTTCTTACCCGAAACCCGATAGCCTGACTTGTCCAATAGCTGCAGGAGGTGCAGTGTAGCATCTCGGCAGGTCGTCTCGGATGAAGCGGCCAGCAGCAGGTCATCCACATACTGGAGGAGTGTGACCTCGGGGTGGGATACGCGAAACCTGGCTAGGTCCGAGGCCAGGGCTGAGCCAAAAAGAGTAGGAGAGTTCTTGTACCCTTGAGGCAATCGAGTCCAGGTTAGTTGGGAGGACGTTCCGGTTGAGGGGTCGGTCCATGTGAAAGCGAATATAGGCTGGCTGATAGGGGCCAGCGGGATGGAAAAGAAAGCGTCCTTCAAGTCCAAGACAGTGTACCATGTGCGGGTTGGAGTCAAAGAGGACAACAAGGTATACGGATTAGGCACAGTGGGATGGACTGTCTCCACCCTGGCATTCACCTCCCGCAAGTCCTGGACTGGGCGAAAATCTCCGGATCCGGGCTTACGGACCGGCAACAGGGGAGTGTTCCAAGGACTTTGACATGGTCATAGTATGCCAGCCTGAAGAAGTCGGTCGATATGGGGTTTGATTCCCAGAAGAGCAGGTTGGGATACCTGATACTGTTGGACCCGCACAGGAGTAGCAGTAGACAGGAGCTGGACCACCACAGGGGCCTGGTGGGCAGCTAGCCCAAAAGGGTTTGACTCAGCCCACACTCCCGGCACTAAACTCCTGTACTGACTCAGCAGTGGGGACGGGGCATCAACCGACGGCCGCCTGGGAGAAAGGAGGCGGGACTCCTCGGAGAGGGGACAGGTCAAGACGAGCTGGGGCACGCTGACCCCCAGGGTGGGAGTAGGTCCCTTAAAAGAAATTACAGCTTGGAGTTTATGCAAGAGGTCTCGACCCAGGAGGGGGTAGGGACAGTCAGGCATGACCAGAAAAGAGTGAGACACCGAGCCTTCCCCTAGCCGGACCTCACGGGCGGTGGTGAAAGGCACTGCTTGGATACGGCCTGTAGCCCCCTGGACCTGTATTTTAGAGGAGGACAGGGGACCTAGTGGAGAGTTCAGAACTGATGCAGCTGCCCCTGAGTCTACGAGGAAAGAGATTGGCCGACCCCCAACAGTGAGTGTCACCCTTGGCTCCAGGGGGTCCAGGGTCATAGTAGACTTGGAGCCAGGGCACCCCTAATCATCCATGTCCAAGGTTAGGACCGGCTCTGGTTTAGTCTTTTGCTGCCGATTTGGGCATTCGGACTTCCAGTGGCCAGTAGCTTTGCAATATGCACATTGGTCTCTGCCTAGGGGGGGCCTGCCCATATTTCTCCCTTGAGGCCGGGGACCAGGCCTCCCCCCTTTCCCGCTTTGCCTGTCCCCTGGGATTTGTGCCAGAGCTGCCACGACTGCCCGTGTCATGGAGCGTGCCTGTTTTTCTTGCAGTTCCTCCCAGGAGTCATAAACCCGCTTGGCTACTTCCATGAGTTCAGTAAGAGTCTTACCCTCGAATCCATCCAATTTTTGCAGTTTTCGCCGGATGTCAGGAGCCGAATTAGACACAAAGTCTATCACCACTGCTCTCCGGTTGTTAGGATCCTCAGGGTCAATGGGGGTGTAAGTGCGGTAGGCCTCATACAATCTTTCCAAATAAGCAGCTGGAGATTCACTTTTCCCTTGCCTGATCTCACTAACCTTAGACATATTGGTGGGTTTCCGCGCTGCTGCCCTTAACCCCCCTAACAGTAACTGGCGATACCTGTCCAAAGCCTCTCGCCCCCGATCAGAATTTGGGTCCCAGTCAGGGCGACTTTCGGGAAAAACATGATTCCGGCGGCCCGGATCAGTTGAGGGGCGGCCGTCGGGGTCCATAACCCTTTTCCTGGCTTCCAATATGATCTTATCACGCTCCTCAGTGGTAAAAAGAACCCGCAGGAGCTGCTGACAGTCATCCCAAGTAGGCTGGTGTGTATAGAAGACTGTCTCCAAAAGGGAAATCAGACTTTGGGGCTTGTCCGAAAAGGACGGATTCTGTTGTTTCCAATTGTATAAATCACTGGTTGAAAAGGGGACATAGACCATGAAGGGTCTCCCCGACTCCCCGGGGGTCGTGGGGACCTGTCGCAGGGGAAAGGCAGATACAGTGGAGTCGGGGGAAAACCCGGACCCGGAGGAGCCGTAAGGCGTCCCTGTTCGAGTATGAGGAGGACTTGTCAGAGGCGGGGCCGAGGGGTGGCTCGACCCCTGAACAGGATATGGTGGGGGTCGGGGCTCAGCCGGGTCCAGGGGGTCAGGATCAGAAGGGGGTAAGACCTTGGCTCCTACTTGCGTAGTCCCGGGAACTTTTTGACCGGATGTTGGCCCCGAGTGCACCCCAACTTTGGACAAAGTTTGAACCCGGAGTGGCTTTGATGGGGGTTTAAAATCTATCCATGCAGTTATATATGGGATCTGATCGGGATGGCCAGGGGTCCCATAAGCAATCTTCCTGACCCTCCCAGTAATGGTCACGTCAAATGTCCCTTCCGGGGGCCACCCAACCCCAAATGTAGGCCATTCTTGTTGGCAAAAAGTGGACAAATTTTCTTTGGTAACCTGAAACCCATATCCCTTGGCAATGCGCCGAAACTGTTTAAAATTCTGTAGGACAACTGAGAGAGGGGTCCCCGGTGTGGGGCTTGACGGCCCCTGACCCATCACAGACGGGAAGAGGCGAATCAATTAGGACAATCACAGACGGATAAAACATATAAGACAGACATAAACAGTTAAGGCAACACTCCAGACATTAACATGTGGCGCCAGACTGCAGATAATCAGGATTCTCACACGGCGTCCCGTGGAGGTCAGTAAGGGCGTTACAGCTGCGT